ATAGTAATTTCTTTAATTTGTTAGTGATTTTCCTATCATCTGTTAGTTTTATTTCTAAAGGATATCAATGATTACAACAAACTGTTATGAGTAGAAAAACATTGTAAATGAAGAATATATGAGAAGAATTATCAAACAATCCTTTTCTTTGAGTTTTCCCAATTTCCTCTCTGTCCTCAATTATCAAACAATCCTTTTACTAGATTCAACACTATTCTTGAGTCTCAACCCTCTCAAATTAGTTCATATTTGAATGATTTACTACCAATGAATCATTCTGTTAACTCATTTGGTCTCAAAACTCATTGTAAGACCAAAATATTTTTAGTATACAATTAAACAAATGCATACTCACACTTGCCTTCAAAATAGAGGTTGAGCTTATTGTCTGAGGAAAATCACTGATCAATAACAAGCTTGCAATAAGCCAAAGCTTCATTTCAAAACATCAAATGTCCATGGCCAAATTCAAAGAAAGAGAAGGGAGAACAATGATTAAGCAGAACCCAGAAGAGCACTTCATGTATGTGACTCGTTACATATATAGTTTAATTGCTATGTCCATAGATTTTAAAATTTAAGGAGGGATGATGCCCTTACATAATGAAGTGAGTCATTAATCACTTTTCTAACCTTTCATTTTAAATTTATTTCAAGTGAATATTCTATCTCAATGGCATCCTAATCACTGAAACTGTCATTATTGAGATTATTTTTTCTTTCCTTTTTTCCATCACAATATATATGGATAATAGTTACAATATTGACTACGCAATCCCAAACTCCTCACTCAAGAGAGGACCTTTTTCACTAGTTTGCCAACAGTCTTAACCTTATTCATTTATAATGGTTTCTCTTAGATTTTTTAATAAATATGCATCGGCTACATATCTTCAGCACATGGATACCGTTGGTTTTATATTTTTTGGTTTTTAAATTACTCTAGGAAATTGAAATTTGCAATAATAAGTAGATGAATTTCAATTATTTTTATTTTTATCAAAAAATTTGGAAGTACATGAAAAATCTTAAACAAATAGCTAAATTAAGAATTTTTTTACACAAAGATCAATGGGGAAACTACAGTTTGGTGTTTTAGTTTATTTCACTCCAGCGACTGTGATTTGTGACTGCTTGTGAGTGATTAAATACTTTATAAAGCAGGTTATTTATCAGGTCTTCTTGTTTACTTTTTTTTTAAATACAAATCTAGTTGAAAAGAGAGATTATTAAAACATAGTGAACCAAGCATCGTTCCTGAGATATGAAATTGAGCATATTTCTTGATGTGTAAGACCATGTATTCGGAACAAACACGTCCTCTTTTTTCCTTATTTTCGATGACAACCAAACTAGTATGACTTGATTTCCCTCTGGTGATGAATGATTATGCTTTATGTTTGTGTCTAGTGTGATTTTTTTTGGTTATTCAACTTAGCTTTTGCTTAGTGTTAATTTCTTTTATACAACTATCAATAAGAAATATAACCAATCTAGAATTTCAGGTACTCTACATTATTTCATATTGATTATCTTCTTTAGTGATGTTGGGACTAATGGTAAGTTCTCTGTTAGGAGCGCCTATGAATTTTTGAGAATACGTAACAAGAAGTGGCTTCTCGTCTAGAATTGAAAAGTGCCTGAGCGGATTAATAAGGGAACTTTGTGCTCATTGGTTTCTTTCTTTCAGATCCTTTTAATGTAAACATATCTTGAACCATATATCAAAGTCTTATTTTTCATTAATATAATTTTGGCACTTTGTCCCAGCTTCAAACTCATAAAGGGAAAAAGAGATTAAAACTGAAGCACCTTATGATTAGTAATATTTACAATTGTAATTATGCTCTAAGATTTCATCATGTTGTGTCAATATGCACTATGCAGGAAATTTTAGTTTGATTTATAGCTATAGATGTCATTTACTGAACCTGAAGCACCAGTCTCACAAGAAATTTCATCTCAAAGAAAACAACACAAGGGAAAAACTAATCCAAGTTGGGAACACTGTAAATAACTTGTTAAAGATAATGGAAAAATTGTTCTAGTGTATCTTTATTATGATAAGATAACCAGGGGAGGTGGCATCAATCAGCTTAAGATTCACTTGGCCGAAGAAAAGGGCAAGTCGAACAATGCAAGAAGGTTCTAGCAGATATTCGTTTTCAAATGAAGCAAAATATTGATGAGTGCAGGAACAAAAAAAAAGTTCAGGAGGAATATGAAGATAGCAATCCATTAGATGAAGATCACGTAAGAGTAATTGATGAAGTGCTACAAAATTCATCAAGAAAATCACCTTCTACATCTCAAAAGTGGAAGATAATTAATCCTCTAGGTTCTTATTTTATGCCTAGAACAACTCCTGAAGCACAACCTGGCATAAAAAGTGTGTTGCAAAGTAAAGAAGTAATGGAGAAGTGTGACCTTGCAATTTCCAAATGGATGCTTGATGCTGGTGTGCCATTTAATGTTGTTAATTCATAATATTACCAGCCAATGATTGATGCTGGTGTGCCATTTAATGCTGTTAATTCATCATATTACCAGCCAATGATTGATGTTATTTGTAGCATGGGTCCAGGGTATAAAGGTCCAAATTTTTACACAGTTCGTGGTCATTTGTTGAATAAGTGGGTTGGAGAAGTCAAGAAACTTGTTAAGAGTTATCGCACTATTCAGAAGTAAACGGGATGCACTATTGTGGCAGATGGGTGGACTGATCGTTGTATAAGAACTTTTATCAATTTTCTAGTTTATCACCCAAAAGGAACTATTTTTCTCAAGTCGGTTGATGCTTCTAATGCTTCTAAAATTCCAGATTTATTGTATAAGCTTTTTAAAGATTTAGTGTTGCATGTTGACCCTGAAAAATATTGTTCAGATTATGACTGATAATGCTGCAAATTATGTTGCTGCTGGAAAGTTATTGGAGGCTGAGTTTCCTAAGATTTTCTGGTCTCCTTGTGCTGGTCATTGTATAAATTTGATGTTACATGACATTGGAAAGTTAGAGGAACTAAATGATGTTGTGTCTCATGTTGCCAAAATTACTAAATACATATATAATCATTGTCATCCATTTCCATTTGATGAGAAAATATATAGGTGGAAGGGAAATACTTTGTCCAGCTCCTACTCGTTTGCCACTAATTTTATTGCATTACCAAGCATATTGGCTCAAAAGGATGCATTAAGGGCTATGGTAACTTCTAGAGATTGGACAAGTTTAGCTTATTCTAAGGAGGCCAAGGCAAAAAAATTTGTGGAACAAGTTTTAGATTCTAATTTCGTGGAAACAATGTGCTGATATTGTGAAGCTTACTGAGCCATTTATTTGTGTTTCATATTGTTGACAGTGAAAATAAACCTGCCGTGGGTTTTCTTTATCAAACTATATTTAAAGTTAGAGAGGAGATGATAAAGAGATTTCAAATAAACAAGAAGAAGGTGGAGCCTTACTTGAAAATCTTAGATAGTCGATGGGATTCACAGCTTCGCAAAAATCTCCATGCTGCTGATTATTGGTTGAATCCAGGTTGTCGTTACAATGATGAAGAATTTGAAAAAGTCAGTTCACAACATCAAGTTTTTTGGATGTCATTGAGAGATATACTTATGGGGATCCTGATTTAAGTTCTAAGTTGACAAGTGAGATGAGAATATTCAAAAATGTTGAGTTAGATTTTGGAAGGTCATCTGCTAAGCGTGAACGAAATACCGTGATGTCAGGTAAAACTTATCGTTGATATTTTTTTGTGAGCATTAATTCTTATTATTGTTAATAATATTAATACTAATTTATTTTATCACATGCAATATTCTAGATCAATGGTGGGAATCTTATGGATGTGGTGCACCAAATTTGCAAAAATTGGCTATTCGTGTTTTAAGTCAAACATGTAGTGCTTCGGGTTGTGAACGCAATTGGAGTGCATTTGAACATTTATATTCATTCTAATAAGAGAAATAGATTAGAGCCCCAAAAGCTTAATGATCTTGTCTATGTTCGTTACAACTTGAGCCTGGCACAAAGGTATTATTGAGTATTTACTTTTTTTATATAATTATTTCTCTAAGTATTTCTAATGTTGAAAATTGGACAAATTAATAAACAGGAATCGATTGAAGCATCAAAACTATGATCCAATAAATTTTGAAACATTTGAGGACCACTCTAATTGGGTACTAGAGGATTCACCACCATACTTAACAGTTGAAGAAATGGAAGCTTTATGGAATGAGCTTGCAAATATGTCCATTCAACTAACTCTAAATGATAATGGTGTGTTTACTTATTGTTCTATGATTATTTGATTACTTCATGTTAATAACTAACATGAAAAAATGACATTTGTTTTAGATCAATTAAATTTGGATGATGATAATGATGAAAATGAGGCACAAGACAGTACTATGGAAAATGCAAATCAAACTGAAGGCAATGTTGGTCAAGCTTTTGATTTATTTGATGAAAGAGGAGAGCATGAATTAATTGACACAACTTTGCCTCATTGGGCATAATTATATGTTTTTGTGCCAGCAATTTGATTTGTTTGTTTTCTCTTGATATCCACAGGAGCTATTATTCTAGACTTGTGATAGATATCAAGTGTTTAAGGACATGACAAATATTATACGTTTGTTTTATCTTTTGTTGGACAATAATATGTGATTTATTGTTTTTCAAATTAGAATATTTGGAACTGATATCTTTTTTTACATGTATTTGAGTATGTTTATAGTTTTTTTTTAATATAAATTACAAGTTTTATCAGAAACCGAGGATCACGAAGGTGAAAACAGAGAGAACAGAGAGTTTCATTGTGAAATTGAAAGAATGATTTCTTAGATTGAATAATCAAATCTGCATGTGTACATGGCTTATATATAAAATAAAATTAGTTCAGCTATTCTAACTGTCCAACTGAATCACGTGGCATCTGTTATAAGAATTAAAGGGATGACGTGGCACTCTTCCTTTACTGTGTCACTTGCTTTTAGCTACACGTCGTGATCTTTTTCTTCTGTTCTGTCAATATCCCTTTCTCCACGTTATCAACAGTATTTACTCCCAATACCCCTCCACAAGCTGGACGCAGCACATCACGAAGGCCAAGCTTGCTAATAATAAGATGAAATGGTTGAGAAGGAAGGGGCTTAGTGAAGATATCGGCTAACTGAGAAGATGAGCGAACTGGAAGCAAATGAAGGGTGCCATCGTTGATTCTTTCACGTGTGATGTGACAATTTATTTCAATATGTTTGGATCGCTCATGGAATGCTGGATTCTTTGCAAGGTAGATGGCTGAGACATTATCACAAAACACATAAGCTGGTTTGGAGCAAGGCACACGAAGATCAGTGAGAAGATAAGTCAACCATTGGATTTCACAAGACATGGAAGCCAAAGCACGATACTCTGCTTCAGTTGAAGAGCGTGGGACAGTTGTTTGCTTCTTCAAACGCCATGATACAAGTGAATTTCCCAGAAAAACACAGAGACTAGTGATTGATCTTCTGGTATCTGGACAACAAGCCCAGTCACTGTCAGTGAAACCTGATAGTTGCAACTCATTGTTTGAGGGGAAAAATAAACCTTGGGCTGGGGAAGCCTTGAGGTATCGAAGTACACGATGTGCAGCATTCATGTGAGATGTTGTAGGAGCAGATACAAACTGACTGAGTTGATGAACCACAAAGGAAAGATCAGGCCTTATGGTTGTGAGGTACAGAAGTCTCCCAACTAAGTGTCGATAAGGTTGAGCATCAGATAAAATCTCAGAAGAATCTTTAGCTTGACACAATTTATTAGATGAGTCCATGGGAGTGGAACTCGGTTTACAACTCAACATCCCACTATCAGAAAGAATTTCCAAGGCATATTTTCGTTGATTTATAATTATACCTTCTGTTGAGCGTGCAACTTCTAAACCAAGGAAGAACCGAAGATTGCCCAGGTCCATGATTCTGAAATTTGAGTCCAGAAAAGCCTTGACTCTATTTATTTCATCCAAGTCATCACCAGAGATAACTATATCGTCCATGTATACTAGCAAAGTCGTGAAAGATGAAGATGCTTGTTTAACAAAAAGGGAATGATCTGCTACAGATTGGTGATAACCAATTCAAATTAAAGCAGAAGAGAGCTTCGAGTACCATTGGCGGCTTGCTTGCTTGAGTCCATAGAGGGACTTTTGGAGTTTGCATACGTTGGGGGGCTTATATTGAGGAAGACCCTCTGGTAGAGCCATGTAGACCTCTTCATTGAGGTCCCCATGCAGAAATGCATTATTTACATCAAGTTGAAAGAGGTGCCATCCACGAGAAGTAGCTACACTGATTAGAGTTCTCACAGTAGTCATTTTAGCAACTGGAGAAAATGTGTCAAGATAATCAACCTCCCCCATTTGTGTATAACCCTTTGCAACTAACCTTGCCTTATACCTTTCTATCATTCCATCAACCTTAAGTTTGATTTTGTACACCTATTTGCACCCAACAATGTGCTTGTCAGATGGACGGTCAACTAAGATCCATGTATTATTTTGCTCCAAAGCAGATATCTCAGCCTTCATAGCTTCATTCCAGCAATCATGTTGTGATGCTTGTAGATATGTTTGAGGTTCTGTGAGACATATGGAATTACAACAGAACCGGGTAAAATCAGGAAAACAATTGGTGTAGGACAAAACACTTGATAAAGGAAAATGTGTATTTTTGTTTGGCATGGGAGTGGATGCCCGAGAAGAAAAATAGCAATGGTAGTCTTTAAGATAATTTGGTTTGTGTTTGACACGTGCGGATTGTCTAGTAGGAACTGTGTGGTTAGGTTCTTTTGTATGTTGGGTAAAGAGAGAATCAGATTCAGGGTGTATAGGTTGATTGGTATTTTGGGTAATATCAAGATCAGGTTTAGTATTTGTGGGTTGGTGGTCATTTTGCATGAGATATTGGTTAAGGGCAGTATGTGGGTTATCAGTATATTGGTTAAAATGATGATCAATAGAATGGTCAATTTGTTGTCTAGTGGTTTGAGGAATATCATATATGGGAAAATCTGCAGTATGCATATCAGAACCAGATTGGTTAGCTTTATCCTTAAATGGAAAATGAGTCTCATAGAATATAGTTTGACGAGATACAAAAATCTCATGTGAAGCAACATCATAAAGAGCATACCCCTTCATACCTTCTTGATAACCAATGAAAATAGTCTTTCTGGCTCTGGATGGAAATTTTCCTCGATGGTTAGACAATGTACTAGCAAAGCACAAACACCCAAATACCCGTAGATGAGTAAGAGTTGGTGGCTTGTTATACAACAAAGAGTATGGAGACTTATGATCAAGTAGGGGTGTAGGCAGACGATTTATCAAATGGGCTACATGTATAATAGCAAAATTCCAGAACTTTGATGGTATTGTGATTGAAAGACTAAGGCTCGAGCAACATTCAACAAGTGTTGATGCTTACGCTCCACTCTACCATTTTGTTGAGGAGTTTCAACACAACTCCTCTGATGAATGATGCCTTTTTGTTTATAAACTTCCTCCATAAGAAACTCAGCCTCATTGTCATTGCGCAGTACCTTTAACTTGGTCTCAAATTGTGTTTCCACATATTCAATGAAATTTTATAAACGTGGACGCACTTCTGCCTTATTTTTCATCAATATTACCCACACAAATCGAGTAAAATCATCCACAACAGTAAGGAAAAACCTGTGTCCATTAATAGAAGGAACAACATATGGTCCCCATATATCAACATGGATCATATCAAAAAATTTATTGCTTTTGAAATTACTGGTAGAAAAGGGTAACTTGCGCTGCCTTGAATAATGACATATGTCACAAGGTCTTACATCTTCACAGGAAATGAAAGGAAAATCTTCAGACATTTGTTTACAAGTATCATATGACAAGTGGCCTAAACGAAAATGCCACAATTTGGCATCGTTCTTCTTCTTGGTTACATGAACAAAAGCCTTATTGAAAGAATCGATGTTCTTCGTACTATCTTGCAAGCATTCCATGATATAGAGTCCCTCCCTTTTATCAGCTATACTAATCATCTTCTTGGTATTGGCCTGCTGTATAAAGCATGAAGACTCACAGAAAGTAAGACAACAAGGAACAGAAGCTGCAATCCTTGAGACAGATATTAGATTGACCTTAAACTCGGGAACATAAAGAGCATCTAGCAGCTGCAGTGAACTAGATAAAAGTACATTTCCTGATATGTTAGTCATTACATGAACTCCATTGGGCAACATAATGGATATTGGTGATATCTTTTGAATTGAATTGAAAAGAGATAACTTTGAACAGATATGATCCATGGCTCCTGTGTCAATGATCCATCGGATTTTACCTGAAGAATTATCAACAGGTAGAGAAGTTGCATTTGAGGCTAATGATGTGGCAGTTGGTGGAGGGAGGAATCTGATCCAGTATTCTTGGTTCTTGCAGCAAATTCAACAACTTTTGATATTGCTCATGAGACAAAGACACTCCTATCTTAGACTCATCATTAAGAGCAGTGGTAAAGCTTCCTCCATCAGATTCCTGCTGAACAAGATTGGCTGCACTATATTGCCTTCCACCACCCTCAGCATTGCGTTGTTTTCCACTATTCTTGTAACCAGGTGGAAACCCGTGGAGTTGATAACAAGTTTCAACAGTGTGGTTAGGCTTCCCACAATGAGTACACATTTTGGATCTACGTCCTTGGCCTCCCAAGTTTGGTCGTGGTTTTCCTTTGTTATCTGTAAAGGTTCTTCTACCATAATTCGTGCTATTAGTAAAAACACAGGACAAAGAAGACTCACCTTGCAGTGTTGTTTTGAATTGCCTTTCTTGTTGAACAACCAAAGAAAAAGCTCAACTAACATGAGGGAGTGGATCAATCGTCATCAGCTGAGATCTGACATGAGCAAATTGCTCATTCAATCCCTTCAAGAAACGCACTGTCTGATCTTGATCTCTATGAGTCTGTACCAACTCAATGAGACGACAATTACAAGGAATAGTGCAGCGACATAAAGGTAAGGGACGAAGATTGTCAAGCTCATCCCAAAGAGTCTTCAACTCAGTGAAGTAATCTGTCACATTCATCTCTCCTTGATGAAGTTTGTACAAATCTTCTTGAAATTCAGAAAGCCTGAATATATCAGATTGGCTAAAATGATTTTTCAGATCTGTCCACACGTCTGAAGCACGATTCATCCATAGGATTGACTTCTCGATTGAACTGCTTATTGATCTATTGATCCAAGCAAGAACAATAGTGTTGCATCTTTGCCAAGCAACATAAAGAAGATCGTCAATGGTGAGCAGAGCAATGGTTCCATCAACAAATCCAAGCTTATTCTTGGATAACAGTGCCATGCTCATAGCTCTTGCCCAAGTATGATAATTCTTTCCACTCAAAGGTGGATTCACAAGAACGAGAGAGGGATTCTCGTTTGGATGTAAGAAAAACGGGTGACCTGGATTGGTCAAGTAATCAGGAACAATATCTGCCATTGCAGATGAAAAAGAAGAAAAATATCAGAAGAATCTGCAGCGAAAATGGCGGATACCAGAGCTAGAGAAGCTCTGATACCATATCAGAAACCGAGGATCACGAAGGTGAAAACAGAGAGAACATAGAGTTTCATTGTGAAATTGAAAGAATGATTTCTTAGATTGAATAATCAAAACTGCATGTGTACATGGCTTATATATAAAATAAAATTAGTTCAACTATTCTAACTGTCCAACTGAATCACGTGACATCTATTATAAGAATTGAAGGGATGACGTGGCACTCTTCCTTTACTGTGTCACTTACTTTTAGCTCCACGTCGTGATCTTTTTCTTCTGTTCTGTCAATATCATTTTTCTCCACGTTATCAGCAGTATTTACACCCAATAAGTTTGCATATATTAACGGGTCATGCGATTGAACCAATGACTCACTAGTTAAATCAGTGATCCAGTATCTTAACCGGATCGATGATCGGATCGAGTTTGATAACATTACCTTATCTAAAAAGTTAATAGGAGCAATTAAAAAAATTAAATGATTTAGGCAATAATCTTTTTAAAAATTAACCATGAATAAAAATGTATCGTTTGAATTTTTTTTTTCCACGGAGTCTTTTATTTATCCATCCTCGATCCCAAGAGAAGAAATGATATCCAAGTAGGGCCAAAGAAGATGGAGAGAGAGTCACACGATATGATATGACAGTTCAAATACAGTACGCGGACGCAAAGTCCTACTTAAAACCAATTAAATCGGTGTTCGTAAAACGACAACACTGTACTCTTACTTCCCCTTCTCACTCACTGACTCACTCACTGTATCTTAGCTTCGCGCTCAGTTTGTTTCTCTACACTTTCACGCACACTATCCGCTGAAGAAACACAAAGCCTCACAAACAAGAGAAGAAAGGACCAAGCACATCATTCAAGCAAAAAAAAAGATCAGAAATATCCAACTTTCGTACTTTGCATTCCTTTCAACAGGTTAGAACTCATGGATGAATCCCTTTTCTTACTTTGCATTTACATTAATGTTCATCTTAATGCAAAATGCAGCAAAGGGGTGAGAGAGGAAATAGGTCCATACACGTTATAATATTACTGCTTCACTTGTTACCTCACATTTCTTGTTGTCCATGTTAACATATAAGTGCTTACTTAGAAGGTCCCTTAAATTTGGAGGCTTGAGTTTTATCTTTTCCTTCTCCACATTTCTTGCTAGATTTTTTATTTTTTATTTTTTGGTGTCTCTTTAATGTTTTTCTTTTAAAGTGTAAAACGATTTTGATTCTTAATTTACGAAAATATAAACGTTTGTTGAACCTAAATGATGCTTCTTTTCAAGCTCTTTCTGCTTTTCTTTTTTGAAAAGCGCTTTTTGCCTGTAATTGATTTAAGTTAAAAAGTTATGCCAAAAGAAACTGCCATCAATGCAGTGTCTCTGTGTTGGAGCTCAGGAGCTGCAAGGTTTCGTAGCTTTCATATATGATATATTTACATATCTTTTTTTTTTTAAAAGCAAAAGGAATATATTAAAATAAAGGTTGATTCCATAATGTACTTCTTTTGTCTGTTTGTTTCTGTGCTTCTTCCTCCTTTTTTTTTATGCTTTAATAAACATATAGTAAGCTCCTTCTCTCTCATTTTTAGTCTCAAAAGATGGGTTTTCGGTCTTCCATTATCTTCTTTTGTTGCAGAGTTTAATGGTTTTGCATGTTTTCTCGTTTGCTGTAGATCTGATTCCTCTTGTGAACTTCGAGGTGGGTTTTTTTTTTTTCTTCTCCATTTTGGCGTGTCTTTGTTCAGCAGCGCACATATGTAAAGCATGTTTTTTTAGAAAAATCAGTTGTCTACAAAATCATGTTGTTTGTTTCCTCATTGAAACAATCATGTGAAAATGTTAATGGGTTAGAGCCAAGTGATCATTAACGTTCGCGTTTTGGCAGACAGAATCAGAAGGTTTGAGCTTTTTTTTTTTGGTCAACACATGTCTTCATATCATAGCAACCTCACATCCATAATTTCGTTGGTTGTGCTATGCCTTCTTTCACGGCAAAATTGGATGCTAAAACACTTTCATTTGTGATTTACAAAAATGCCCATTGGACATGTATTTCAAGTAGTTAAATTAGTATTTTTATATATTGATATGGAAAGATCATGGGCACCTATGTAATTTCATTCTTTTCTGTTGTTATAGTTGTAGGTCCCTCTTGATCATAATTCATAACTGGGGTGCTGTTAGCTGCAAAAGACCTTATCATAACATCAGTTGGTTAAAAGATAACATTTTCTCGCATGTGTGGGCCTTTGGTTGACATAATGTATCGATACAAATCTGTGTGACTTTTATTTTACCATCTTTTTATAGTGTTGCTCCATCTTTCTATCTTTTTAGTGATATCTTTTGGTACAATTTAGTTATATTTTTAGGAAGGTGTTAGCTGAGAGTAAAATTCTTTGTTGGTGAATCCCCTAGTATAATGTGAACCTTGGTGTGTGTTATGGGAGACGAAAGTGAATTATTTTGAAATATCAAAGTTTTTCTATATAAAGATAAAAAGGTGACATTTTTAGGTATCCTGAATTAGGGGGTCGGTTGGGTAGGATTCAGTGCCTAGTGAGAGGTACATTTTTGGCATCAAAGTGAATATCACAGTAAGCAAATCTTATGCATTTATAGCTTAAGGGGTGAAGATAAGAAGTTCATCCCATCTTGCATGAATGCATTTATTTTTCCCGTAACTTCATTAACTTTCACATTGGATTCGCTTGTCTCGGCTTGTGATATTTATCTGAACTATTACAGTCCTCGTGGGTCAGGGAGCTTTCAAGCAGTGAGGCCCAAATCATTAACCCATTTCTCTTTTCTGGATAGAAGGCAGTTAAGCCATGCAGACCCCAAAGACAAGGTAATCTTGAAATATTTTGGCAATTGCTCTTTTCCTGTTTTATTAATGTTGCTCTTGTACTTTGCCTGATTCAAAAGGATTTCTGGTTTTCTTCTTTATAATTTTAAGGTGTTTACATTTTTGCAGCTGCTGTATCTGCATCAATTAAATACTTGCCATATATATACTTGAAAGCATTAAATGTGGGAAATCATAACCATACAAAGAATGAAAAAATTAAATGTGAGAAATCATAACTATACAACTGTCGTTGCTGTACGTAAAGCGGCTGCAGAAATAGTTTTACCTAATTTTAAACACTTTTTGAATATATATATTTAAGATTATATCTTAATTAATTATTGAGTATTTATATCTTTTTTATAGTTGCATTTTTTTCTTAAATATTTGTCTTTTAATTTATATTTTAAAATTTTACTTAATTTTATAATATTCAATAAAGCACAAGATGATTGGTAGTTTGTGTTACAGAAGAAAAACATATAGATGGCTAAGAATATTTGTTGCCAATAAATGCCTGCCTAATCATGTCTCATTATTATGCTTCCTTTTTTGGTTCAATCAGGCTTCACTATATGCCTCCTCCCTTAAACTGCGGAATGGGGGATTGGGACCTGGTGCAGTTATTACCGATTCTAATGAGCCAAAAAAAAATGTTTTTCTATGTACTGTCTGATTATTACTATTTTATTTTTTTTCCACAAATGACTGTTAACATTAATACGCAATGTATTTTTTGGATGGGGCAATATGTAGCACAAACTCTCACCATTACCCATAATGACCTATTGATTCAGAAATGGTGATAATGTATCTTCAAAGAATAAAATTATCTGCTAATTACTAGAAATTTATAATTGAAATTTCACTATTTATAACATATGCTTGTAAGTTGTAAGGCACTTATCTTTTTCAAACTGGAATTATGAAGTTAATAACACAAGTTATTTTAGCAAGATTTTCGTGTAACTTGTTGGAGTCTTTCTCATGTAATTGGGTACTCAATTAGACAATTACTCATTTCTATTAAATTTGTAATTTTTGTCCGTTTAAATCTGGCTTCAAGAATGGTTATACTTTAGCTCTTTCATCTAAAAGAATTTGTTTAATTTTTAAGTGTGAGGATATTGTTTTATATGGCTGACAAGGTATTTGTTGCTAGAATTGAGAGATATGGGGGTTTCCATTCCCCACAAAGGATTTCACTTGTGTACATTTGTTTATTCTGATTTCAGAAGTGGCTCCTCTGAAGTGCCTCAGAAGGTTTCTCCTCGTGCTGTACGCCAACTCAGGACTACTACTGCTCTTGACATTGACTCTGTATCTTCTTTAAGTCAAGCTAATAAAATATCAAAGGAAAAAAGCCCCAAAGTCACTGACCGCAGATCACCTAGAAGCCCAGTTCCTGAGGTAACAATTTTTTACCAAGTAATATATTCACAGCAAATGTTTAACTGCAAGAGTTGGAAGTTGGAACCATAGAATCTTTTGGGATAAACTTGACAATAGGAACCATAGTATTTATTCGGATAAGCTTTTTTTCCTTTGAAAAAGTACTTTTTGCCACGGAGAAGGAAAAAACTCTTCTGCAGAAGTGAAATATTTTTAACTCCTTTAAGAAATATACAAGAAGCTATATTTACCATGTTAGTTTTCTGTTGAAGAAGAAAATTTTAACTTTTTCTTTTTTGTTTTTGCCTGTTTGTTTGTGCTTTTATATGAAAAAAAGCGCTTTGTTAATTGGGATAGGTTATTCTACTTATTTCTTTTCCTGCCTATCATTTTGAATATCAGAATCTCAACTAACCTTTATCTTTCTCTCTCCTCTTGAGATTCTGATCTAATAGTGTTGGAGAGTGGTAGGTAAAAGTAGTCAGAAATAAAGGTAGGTAGAATAACCTATCCCTTATTAATTAGCAAACCTACTTTAAAAAAATTATAATAATTAGTTAAGTTTTTCGAAGAAAAAAATGCAAGCCCCCACTTAAAACTGAAACAATTTTAGTGTTTTTCTCATAAACTAGAAAAAGTAGCTAATGAAAAAAACCATACCGAAAGGGCTTTTAAGTTTTGTCAAAAAATGCCCATCCGAACGCATTAAGCGTAGGACTGTTTTCTGGTTTCCTTTCAAAAGTACTTACTGATAGATGTTGTTAACTAAGTATTTGAAGTTTGCTTGAATTTCATTTTACGAAGTAAATTCTCTTACAATGTGCACTTTAGCGGATAGCCAATAAGTGGACCTTTTTAAAGGATTCTGTTCTTGAAAATTAATTAAGCGTAATCAAATCACTGTGAAGAGAGTGGGTAAAATAAGCTATTGGACTGCCATGTAACAACTTATCATTAGTGTTATAGGTGTATGACATTGTACATCAATGACTGGCGAAAGCCTTGGTGTGTTCCACATCCTCTGATGTATCTTTTATCTTGTCTCACTTTTCAATTTTGTACTACTTTAATTTTTGTTGTAGTCCTGGTTGGAAGCACCAATATGGTGTGTTGTTTTCTAAAATTTATCAGCACGATTTTCCTTATCTAGAATTTTAACCCAACATAATTTTATGTTGCTTTAGAGGAAGCGCCCCAGCAGGATATCTGAATTGGAATCTCAAATTTCTCAACTTCAAGATGATTTGAAGAAGGTGAAGGACCAGCTTATTTTGTCTGAATCATGCAAGAAGCAAGCTCAGCAAGAGGCTGAGGAATCCAAGGAGCAACTGTTAGCCCTATCTGCAAAACTTGAAGAGTCACAAAAGCAGTTCCTGGAACTCTGTGCTAGTGGAGAAGCTCGTGTTATTGAGCTCCAGAAAATTACAGAAGAACATGATATGGCATGGCAATCCGAGCTCGAGTCCTCCCAAAAGCAGCACTCAGTTGACTCTGCTGCCTTGTCCTCTGCCATGAATGAAATTCAGCTTCTCAAGGTTCAACAGGAATTGGTAGCAAATTGGGAGAATCTGAACACTCAACATGCAGTAGCGGCAGATGTGGAGCTACTAAACCTGAAGCAAAACTTGGCAGAAACTCTTTCTCTTGTGGAGAACATGAAAAACCAACTCAGGAATTGCAAAGAATCTGAAGCTCAGACCCAAGCTTTGTTCAATGAAACCATGCTGCAACTTGAGGCTTCAAAAAAAACAGTGGAGCTCCTAAGGGCTGATGTTGCAAAAGGTGTAGATGGATACAACTCCATTGCTTTAGAGTTAGACCAGTCTAGAACACGGGTTAACTCACTAGAGGCACTTGTTAGCAAACTCGAGACAGACCTCATCAATAATAAATGCAGTCATTCTAGAAATCTTGCAGATGATCATAAATTTAAGAAAGAGGAAGAGGATCCTAATCAGATTGAAGCAGAAATTTATCTTTTGAAGTCTGAGATCGGACGACTTAGATCTGCTATTGAGACTGCTGAGACTAAATACCAAGAAGAACAGATTCGGAGCACGGTGCAGATCAGGAATGCCTATGAATTGATGGAGCAGATAAAATCTGAATCAGGTCAGAGGGAATGTGAGCTAGAGGCTGAATTGAAGAGAAAGAAAGCTGATATTGAAGAGTTGAAGGCTAATCTAATGGATAAGGAAACTGAGTTGCAAGGTATTATGGAAGAGAATGAGAACTTGAATTTAAAGCTTGAAGAGAGCATGTCATCCCAAAATGAACCTGAACTTAGAAAGGAACTTAAAAGGTTAGATGAATGTGTGGCTGAGTTGAAGGGTGATATGATGGACAAGGAGACAACATTGCAAAGCATAACTGAAGAGAATGAAATGCTCAAGTTGGAAATCAATAAGAGGGAGGAAGTAGAGGTAGCTAAAGCTGCAGAACGTGAGGCTCAAATGAAACTTGGGATTGTGATGGAGGAAGCAGATAGGAGCAACAAAAAGGCAGCGAGAGTGGCTGAGCAACTAGAAGCAGCTCAAGTAGTAAACTCAGAAATGGAAGCAGAACTGAGAAGACTCAAGGTACAGTCTGATCAATGGAGGAAAGCTGCAGAAGCAGCTGCTTCCATGCTTTCAGCAGAAAACAATGTGAAGCTCACTGAGAGAACCGTGTCTTTGGATAACAACTATAAGTGCTCACCCTTTGCTGAAGACATTGATGATGACTTCCAGAGAAAGAAAAATGGCAACATGCTTAAGAAGATTGGGGTCTTATGGAAGAAACCTCAAAAATAGTGACTTGTCTAATTTATCTTGTGTTGTGAAATTCTAGTCCAATAATGTTGTATTCCTCTAATGTTTTGTGTCTTTTGCAATTTTGTCTCACCATTACCCTCCCCTCTGCACTCCACTGTAAATTGGTCTGAAACTGTTTGTGAACTGTACTAGGAAAATTGGCATTTAGTTGTTGAATGAATTTCAGCTCTTTTTCTTCACATAATCTACCACTCCCTCCTTTTAGACCATGTTTGGATCCATTATTTATTTGGGTAACTGTGTTTTGTATCTGTAAAGCTGTTTTTATTAATGAAAGTGACATGTTTGGACTATGCTAGGAAAACCTATTAATTTATTTTTTTTATTAAAAATATTTTTTTCCCCTAGGTTATACTTTCAAATTTCTTTGATTATTAATTCTTGATTATTTTATAAATTTGTATGCAAAATGTTTTGTTTTTCTTTCTTTAACAAATTGTATTTTGAATAATTCATATTAATTTTAAAACTTAGCTACGTAAAATTACTTTTTTTTTATACATAATTAAAGTAAAATATAAAAGTAAAATATATTTTCTTAAACTCACTTTTCATTTTAATATGTCCAAACACAGTTAATTTTTTTTTATCATAATTGATTATTATTGCAAATAATTATTAAATAATGTTCTAAAGCTAAGCTAAACATGTCTTGAAAGCGGGAATAGATCTTTTTATATTAAAATTTCACATAAGTTGGTTATATAAAAATTTTGTGTTTATCTCTCTCTTTATTAATTATAATTGTACTCTAATTATTCAATGCATGCGAAGAGAGATAAATGTTAAAATTTCATAAATTTGCTTACCAAAAAGAAAAAATTCATAAATTTTATATAAGATGATGCACTCTACTTGAGACTCCTGGTCATGATTTGTCATTAATTTTGTGATTGTCCGCATAGTCCTCAATCTGAATCTCCCATACTTAAAACCTGGTCTAACATAAGGGGCTTCATATAATCATCTTAAATAAAAACTAAGATCAATTTCAATTGATTAGAAGTGTTGATTACCAGAACGAAAATACTATAATTTAAAATATCATATATCTTTCTTAGGTTAGATAAATAAAATACGATATCTATTTTTTTATTGGTGATAACAAAAAAAAAAAACTGGGTGTCTAGAAAATAAAAACTTTTTTAAAATCGAACAAGAAGGCTTTGCATGTAGCCCATTTACGTTTGGGCCTTGCATCAGGTTTCAGAAACAGCTTAGTGGGCTCAAATAAGGAAAATTTAATGTAGGAAAAAAAAAAAAAGAGGTTTTTAAGGTTAGGTTAGGGTTTTGAGTGTGGCTGCCTGAGTAGCGAGTAGCGAGTAGCTCGTTGTTCTTACTTGTGCAGTCCGTCCGGTTCAGAAGTTGCAGAACGGTTCTGTGATTCGTACTTGCCACTTGCCACCATGGGGTGAGTTGCATTTCGTTAAACAAAATTGTTTATTCTGTTTGAATGGTTACTTTAGTTTGTTGGATTTTAATTAAATTACTTTATTTGATTTGATCTGTGTCCAATCTGTTTATTTTTCTTATGGATCGGTTGAAAGCTGGTATTTGTTTTTTATTCTTTGAACTTGCCAATTCTCCTTGTGGAAATTCTAAAGAAAATAATGTTTCACGTGGGCAAGCATATATATGTTATTGCCTTAAAGATAAAAATTTCATGTACTCTGTACATGCTATTTGTTATAAATTTGTTGAGCGTCTAGCAAGATGTATAATTTAGAGGAGTGTTGACAAAAATGATACATTACTTTCACTCTGTTTCATGTTTACAAGAATTTGTGAACCAAATGGTGAAAAGAGATTTTGTTGTTGTTTTTTTTTTCCTTCATGAATTCTTGAAAATAAAAAAATAAAGTGAAAATAAGATCATATTTTGTGATTATTATTAAAAACATATTAATTGAATTTGATAAGTAAAACAAAAATCGAACAAGCCAATTATCTTTCAGGAGCCATTTTCATGTTTATAGTTATGGAGTATGTATAAACTGATTGTATAACAACTAACAAGCCAATTATCTAAAGTAGTTCATATGAACTCTTAACACACAACAACAGTACAGCACCTCCTTTCTTGTGTGTGTTGCTTTAGTCAGTTGAGTCATTGTTTACTATCCAATCTTCGGTAATAAATTAAAGGGTCTATTTTCGTAGGGTCGATTAATAATAATTATGCAATGTGCTTTCATTAAACATGTAAATTAGTTCACAGCTTCTGGCATTTTCTCCTTTGTCAGGAAAACACGCGGTATGGGAGCTGCTCGCAAGTTGAAGTCCCACCGAAGAAGGCAAAGGTGGGCTGACAAGGCCTACAAGAAATCAAATCTTGGAAATGAATGGAAAAAGCCATTTGCTGGATCATCTCATGCCAAAGGCATTGTTCTTGAGAAAATGTTAGCCTAATATCCTATATGTGCTTTTCTTTTTGATTGCTTGTAAAGTGTGAACCATTTCTGCTTAGAAATTTTATATAGCCTTAATAAAGGGTTTCACTGAGTGACCTTGTTTTACAGTGGGATTGAAGCTAAGCAGCCTAACTCTGCTATTAGAAAATGTGCTCGAGTACAGTTAATCAAAAATGGAAAGAAGATTGCAGCTTTTGTGCCAAACGATGGTTGCTTGAACTATATTGAAGAAAATGTAAGTTATCTTTTAAAGCAAGATGAAAGTGAAGAAGAGGTGTTGGGGTTAATTAATTTTGTTTCTCGTTTTCCTTTCTACTTTAAAGTTGATGCTTGTTGTTATGACTTGTGCAGGATGAAGTGCTTATTGCTGGTTTTGGCCGAAAAGGGCACGCCGTTGGAGATATTCCTGGAGTCCGATTTAAGGTTGTGAAGGTATCTGGGGTGTCTCTTCTTGCACTCTTCAAAGAGAAGAAGGAGAAGCCTAGGTCTTGAATATTTTTTCTTTTAGGAGTTACTGTCTTTGGTTTTTTATGGTTTTCAATTGTATAATTTGAGAGAAGTAGATCATGGTTCTCTTCTCTGGCCAGAGTTACTTTTAAATGCTCATGGAACCGGAACCTGCTATGTTTCAATCTTATGTGTGGACTGGTAAAAAAGCATACTTATTTGTTAGTTATTGAACGTTTTGGAGAGTATGGAATGTTAGTTTTTTTTAAGTTTGCTCTTTCTTCAACCACCTTTGTAATTGGAACTTTAATGTAAAATCCATCGATTGCGTTTATAGTAACACGCAAAGGCATTTTTTTTAAGCTTGTTACTGCCGTACAGGATAATATAAATCTTCCTTCGAAATGTTACAGAACCGAAGGCGGTTCTTCATCAGCATTTCTCTTAAGTTAATATAATGGTGAACATTATAGTTTTGTTGACGTTGGTGTAAAATGGAGGTAGATTAACATGGGTAGAAAGTGTATGATGTTCCTTTGCATAATTCTTTCTGAAATTTGTTATGTTCAAGTTGATACAGCAATTATACTTGTACAACTAAGGTTCCTCAAATATTTTACATAATTTCATCGCACCCATTAAATTCCTTTTTTTTTATCTTAATTTTTATTTTTATTTGTTTTGCGCATCCAATTACTCGTAGGGATGTAAATAGGTTAGACTTTGACTTATATAGGTTAGGTCTGTGCAAAAAACATTGGGTCTGGTATGACCTATTGGCCTGTGTAGGTCCCAAATTATAAGTCTGACCTATATTTAAAAATAAAAGTCTTAGCCTAGGCCTGTTAACTTGTTTAACCCTATTAAATATTAAAAAATTAAAAGAATAACTAAAATAATATTATTTAATTATTCAAAATTATTACATAATAATTTTATTTATTTTATTTAAAATAAATAATATGATATAGGCCGATCTGTAGGACTTTTTGACCCTTATAATTTTTTTTAATAATTAATTACTAAATTGACCTTGATTATAAACTATTTCAAAAATTTAACCTCCCCAACAAACATAACACCAATCTGCTCCTGTTTGAGCGTTGACCACCAAGCCTACTCGGATACACTCCTCCCTACCCGAGTATTTTTTACCTACCCAGGTAAGGAGGGGTGTACCCAGGTATAGTTCTTGAATCTGAGAAAATGATTGAATTATTTACCCGGGTAGGAAGGGGTCTACCCGGGTAAATCTGGGAAAATAGTTCTTTGCAAGTCTTAATTTTCATCTTCATAAACATTAACACTACTCTCTCCTCTTCTTTGTGTTAATTTCTTTTAAAACAAACTAATTTAACTAACCCCACCACTGATGAACTGCAACGCCTTCATCTCTTAACTTTCCATACAAAGCCAAACATTCCCGAAGTTGCGGGGAAGTTAGATGCGAAGACGAAGTCAACCGTGTCGTCGAGTATCGTGCTATGTTACTCCAAGTCGTTTAAGGAAATGTGGTCTATGTTGTAGTCCGTGACAACCTGAAACCCTTCTCCGTTAATGTTTATGTCGTTTACATTGTTGCTCAGAAAAACAGCCTTATTGCGCTGCGTTTTGCTCATGAGGCCTTCATTTGTTAGGTCACGGAAGAGAAGTGTTAATAGGTTATCCATGTCTCCATGACGAGGCATGGGTTGTTGTTGTTGGGGAATATTTGAGGTTGTCGAATCATTAGAGTTTGTTGCAACCAATATTGATGAACAGTGGCGGAGCCGGATCTAAATTTGAGCCCGGGCCAAAAAATTATACGTGTATTTAATTTTTTTAACTTTAGTTAGTTCATATTATAATATATTTAAATTAGGGAAGGATCTGTTTATAAAATTTTTTTTGTGAATTTTTGCAAATTATACTATATACTCCCGAAAGTACATAGTATTAGCCAGTGTACTTCCGAAAGTACATAGTATAGTTTGTAAACAAAAAATTTGTAAATATAACACTCTCCATTTAAATTTTATTAAATATAGAGCATCTGAGCAGGCATTACAAAGAAGAATTATAATTTTATTAAATATTTTTTTATACAAGTGAAAATTGAATACATAATCTAATACAACTTACCGAAATCCCTTACCAAAAATATTTTAAGTTTTAGATAAGGTCAAATTACAAATTGTAGCCCGGGCCAAATTATAATTTTAACTCGGGCCAAATTATAATTAATTATATAATTATATATAATAAGTGTAATTTGTTAAAATTTAGCCCAGGTCGAGGCCACACCTGCAACGTACGTTGCTCCGCCACTGTTGATGTACTTATCAATGTGAAGGAAGGGATGAAGAATGCCAAAATCATCAACGGTAAAAAAATCTTACAAATTGAATTAGGAAACGTAATGATGAGATAATAGGCTTCTGGTAGAGATTTACCCGGGTAGACCCCTTTCTACCCGGGTAAATAATTCAACCATTTTCTCAGATTCAAGAACTATACCCGGGTACACCCCTCCCTACCCGGGTAGGTATAAAATTTCAAAAAATACCCGGGTAGGGAGAAGTGTACCCGAGTAGGCTTGATGGTCAACGGTCAAACAGGGGCAGATTTGTGTTATGTTTGTTGGGAAAGTTAAATTTTTTAAATAGTTTATAATCAAGGTCAATTTGATAATTAATTATTAAAAAAAGATTATAAGGATCAAAAAGCCCGATCTGTAGGCTTATAAGCCTAATATATACAAATATTTTAAATAGATTTATTTAAACACCTAGGTCTGTTCTATTTTACTATTTGTAACAGGTCAAATATGGTCTAATATAAGCTAAGCTGTAAGCGAGCCTAACCCATTAATATCCCTTTACATGTAGCCTGTGCGATATTTATGCTCATAATTTATATACATATATCATTTCTGTGAATTGATATCTTCAAATTTGTATAAAGATTTAGTGTAATACGGCGAACCTCAGGTTTACAAGAACTTTCCATTTTAAAATTTTTTGAGGCAATGATTTTCTTATATATGAGAATATTTATCTTAGTCTTTTATATATATATATATATATATATATATATATATATATATAGGCTTTAATGTTTTTACAGTGAATGTAGATAAGTTATTTATATTCACTTTCAAAAGGACATCGTTTGAGTTGAAAAAAAAATTATAATAAAAAAGACTATTATAATTCTGAAATAAATTATAATTATAAAAATATCTTGATTTCCGTTCCAAAACGACGTCGTTTTGAGCTTAATTTAGATAACCAATCTATATTGACGGTAAAAAAATCAAACTCATATATATTTTGAATATATTAAACAATAAACTAATACAAATTATCTAAATTTCTCACCAGTTGAAGAATCCTGGCTTTGAGAATCATCTTTTTAGTTTGCCTCATTAGAAGGGTATTTATTATATTATTAAACTCGGGAACGAGACCAAGCTTTCTCTTTTCCTTCTTCCATCTTCCTTTTAAAGTTGATGAAATAAAGGTTCTACGGTATTGACAACTTTTGTACCCTAATTTCCTACTCCTATTAAAAATAAATAAATCATTTTTCTAATCTAATTCCTTCGTATATGTAAGAAATACAAACCAATCTGAATTAAAGATGAGGAAACTAAAAAGGAACCATTTTTACTGTTGATATCCAGCACATAAGTATGATAATATACTATCATTTTTGTGCCATGTGCATGTCAGATAAACAAGCGATAGTGCTAGTTGAAGACTTTGACTAGTTGTACTTGCTCTACCATGTTCTCATTTCAAGCTCCAACCAAAGATGGCCCAGTACTTGTTGTGCATTGACGGTCAATTAAAACCATCGTTGATGGAATATAGTTCCTTTAATCCGATTATTATATGTCATAATAATCTAATTAAAGATCAAACCATGGCCCATTTCTTTCCCATCAATATCTCTACCCTCAAGGACAAAACTGTAATTTCATCTCGAAAATGACTGCTTCAATGCTATACAGCTGCCCCTTTCATATTTTCATACCAAGAGAACGAATTCTCAAGAACAAGACTCTCTCTCTCTCTCTCACTCAAATTGAATTTTTTATGCTCCATAATCCATGTCCTATTAAAAAATTCAAACAATGATGTAGCAATGTAGCTATACATTTGTCATTGATTAACGAGGCACATTCAAATAATTTTCAAACTTATTGCTGACAATTTTCTCACGCCCAAATCCTAAGTTGGATTTGGTCTGCCAAGGGAGACAAAAATCCTTCCCGAATTTCGCGCTCATGCTTCGCTGAAATTTCTAATTCTAAGAGGCACGAGAAATTCTTTTCAGCTACACTATTATATCATATATGGTACATTGGCAACTATTTGTCTATTTAATTTAATAATTTTTTTTTTGGAAATATTTAATTTAATAATTCATTTGAGTAATAGTGAGTAGTACAAACATGTTCTAAGAATCTACCAGGCAGAATATATTGAAACCACCACTAATAAAAAAAAAACCCCATAGCTGCTCCTGAAAATTTGATCCTAACTGTTCAGAGATTTCAGGTTCAGGCTGCACAAAACTATGAAACATCACTCTCATTCTCTCTATCTCTCTATCTCTCTATCATCTATCAAATAAGGAAAAAAATGCTTTATCTGCTTCTCTCCAATTTCATTGACTCGGTTAGGCAAACAACATCTGAAATTTCAGTCTATTCACCAATTAAAAGATAGTAGTACAAAAAATTTGACAATTTAAGGGCCAAAAAGAAAAACAAACTAGAAAGAAAAGAAAAGGTGATTTGATTCAAGGGAATCAAATCCTATAAATTAACCCAGCACTCAAAAGGATTGCAAGTCTTAAAAAGACTGATATGTTTTTTATCAAACATTGGAGGAAATTAAAAATCAGTGACTTTGTGTCTACATTAGAGGACTATTGAGAAGCCCATGCCAAGATGAAGTGATACCATTATTCCAACTAGCTCTTCCTGAGTCAAGTTCACCCATGTTTGTGTCTCCATTTAGCTGCCATGGGAAACCCCATAACACCCTATTTTCACTTTGTTCCCTGCCATTACAAAGTTCTTGTTTCATGGTTGTGACTGTCACTGCTTGAGTGGTTGCAATACTCATTTCTTGATCATAAGGCATCATCATCTCTCCACTAACCCCAACCCCAGAAGCATTGCCATTGTCAACCTCACCCATGTCCCCATTCCCATAACCATAGTACATAGTCTGCAGATTATTCTGAGTTCCAAGGAACCCACTTCTAAGTGCATCTAAGAATCCTGGGTTTGTGGTTGAAGGGTTCATGCCTTGATTGTTTAGAATATCACATGGGGTGCTTGTGGGGTTCCCCAAAATTGAAAGATCATGTTCATCAAAACCAAGTTGTCCACATGATTGCTTTTGGAGCCTAGCTAATGCAAGGTTAAGGTCACTGGAGTCATAAGACAATGGAGGGAGGCCAGTGAGTGGGTTGTGATTGGGTGTGAATGTTTGATCTTGAGCCCTCTTTGATGCTGATGATGATGATGATGATGATGATGATGATGATCTCTTGTTCTTCCTGCACCCTCCACCCACAGGAACATTCCTCAGTGTTCCTCCTTTGGTCCAATATCTCCTGCAAGACTTGCAGAAATACCTTGGCTGGGTAAGACTGTAGTTGTTGTAGTAACAAAATTTGGTGTTGGTGGAGTCACATCTTGGGCATTTCAGAGCTTGTTCTGGTTGAGGTCTTGGCTTTCTCTCTTGTTGTGCTTTTGAACAAGCTAACATGTTTTCCAATGACTGGCTAGACATTTGCTGCAACAAAAACCACAAAAATTTCCAATTGAGCCAAATAATCCATATATAGCCCAATTTGAGAGTTATGTATGCATACATTTATACATAAATTAAAAAACATACATAAATTACTACCAACAATGATACACATAATTAAATTTCCAATTTTTTGTACTTTATTGACACTCAAAGGGTGTTTATACTTTGTAGAAAATGTGATTTTTTTTTTTTAAAGGAAAAAAAATCAATTATTCTGTGAGAAGATCATTTCCTTGTTCACTATTCCAAATTGATCTTAAAGAAGAAAATTAAAACCCAAAACCATATATGAAGGAAAAGATGAAAAGCAAAAGAGAGAAAGCATATAATTAAAGAAGAGAAGCACCATCATGCATGATATATATATGTCTCACCTGATGTTGTCCACTAGAAGGATCCATCCATACAATTAACAATCAGAATAAGCTAGCACTCCTCAAATGAACACGGTTTTGAAACTTGAAAGGTGTGAGCTTTTGGTTTCTTTTTTGTGTATGTGGAATGTGGTTATTATGTCTAGCTTCGTATATCTGTGCGTTTTGTTTTATAAGTAATGAAGGAAAGGGAAAGAGAAAGGAGAAAGAGAGAGAGGAAAGTGAAGAAGAGATAACAATAGAGATGGGTTTAGCAAGTTATGCAAAGTGAGGTAATAGATACCATAGGTTTAGTTAGTACTTGTTATATTTATATACAAAGCAAGCAATCCCAAGATAGATAGATATAGAGAGAGAGAGAGAGAGTGTAATGATGGGTGTTGCCGTACGAGATATGATCGATGAGGTTGGCTTGCACGCAGAGAAAGCATTAAGGAAAGAAAATTCGAGTGCCTTCCCTACCCAATCTCTTCTGCAACGGTTTCATACGAAAAAAGAAACACTTCTCTCATCTCACTCCCTGCAAAACCACCGTGGGTCCCCCTCTCGCGTGGATTCAACTATTTGTGTGGACCCCACACTCCTTTGCCTTGCCCAGGCCATTTAAGTGGTCCCCACACATCCACCACCGCAATTCATCGCCCAAACACCCCCCGATTTCCTCAGCCCCCAAACACATTACCTCGTCCACTCGCGTTACCCTTTTTTTTAAAATTTTTTATTATTTCATTTATCACACCACATAAAAAAGTAGTTGAAATTTATTTTATTTTTTTCTTAATGAATTTCATATATTTTTTTATGTGTTATACGAGATAATTTATCTCATGATACAATATGAGAAATAATATTTTCTTTAAATAAATTAAAAAAATACACTGAAGACTGAATTTTATATTTTAATTTAAAGAAAAGTATTGTTATTTGGTGGTATAGGGAGGGCGGTGTTAGAACGTGGATGTTTTTGGATTTGTGTATGATGAGGTGGGACCCAGAGAGAAGAAACACTCAAAATTGAAATAGATGGAAGGGAAGGATTGTCGTCGTTTGTTGAATGTCCGGGTGATGTAGACTTGTAATGATGTTGGGGACAGGCAAGGGGACACAAGTGAAAGTGACACGGGATCTTCATTTTCATTTTCATCCTTTCATCCTTCATTCTTTCGTATTTTTTGTGCATTTATTCTCCTGTGCACAATCACTCCCTGTTTGCCCATTTCCTTAGTTATATAATTTATTTTATTTTATTTATTTATAATTATGGAATGGAAACACGTTGTGTAATTTGGCTCTGGCCACTGGCCTCTGGGTCATTATTCAGTCATATAATCCCCTCTCAGACACGCTCACATCTACTCATTATCTATGCCTAGACACCTCATCGCTGTCACCATTACTCACTCAATGTTCATCAGTCAATTTTGCTTTACTTGGTTTGGGTCTTTTTGGCCCTTTAATTTGGGTGCTTGTGGTCCTCATCCTGAATCATGATCAATAATAATCTGAACACAGTGACTGACTTGTCTTACTCAACTCCCACTTCTTCTATGCAACTCCTACAGTCCTACCCTTTCTTTCTTTCTCACTCTACGGACATAATTTCCCATTATAGTCACTTCACTCCAATCTCTCTCTCTCTTGTATATATTTTTATATTTATTGATAAATTATTAAAGGATGCATACATCAACTCATTTTTAATTATGTATTTTTTGGAATACATAATTGTAATATTTTTTTTATTATATACTCTCAGAAAAATATAGTTAAAAAATAGTTGCAAGAATGAACAGTATCATTCCTACAAGATTATTCTTATATTTTTGATTATTAATATACTTGTAGTCCTCTTTTATATTTTGTTAAGGATAAGCAAATAAATAATAAATATAATTCAATATATTAATATTTTTAAATATAAATAAATTAATTATTAATAAAGCGTGTAAGACTTTTTAGCAATGTTATTAAAACTGGCCCGGTCATTGACCCGATCGAGGTACTGGGTTACTGGTTCAACCGCATGACCCGGTAATTATATGTAATTTTATAATTTATATTAAAAAATTATAAACATACTCAAATATATTAAAAAAATGATAAAAATTTCAAATATTTTAATATAAAAAATAATAAATCCTATATTATTATTCAATAAAGGATCAGACAAAAATATAATGATCGTGATACGGGGCTTTAGGTTCATAAAACGACATCTCTAACTATAAATAAAATCAAAATTTTCTAGATAGTGCATAATTGAGATAATATTAGTGTTGTAGGTACATAACTTATGTAAATCAATAAGCAAAAAATATTCAAATATATCCATTATGATATTTTTTTGAAAAAATAAATAATTTAAATTTTTTTTTTATTAGGACCGGGCCGGGTCATCGGTTAACCGACCAGGTCACCGGTTTTCATAAAAACCGGTTGGGTAGGACCGGGTCACACCGGTTCTAATGCATGACCGGTCCATTGCTTCAACCGAACCGGTTATATGACCAGTTTACCGGTTTCCGAGTCGACCTATCGGATCGATCCGGTTTTAATAACACTGCTTTTTAGATTTAGCTTAAATTTTCCCATATATAATGTTATGTTGTTGTGCTTTGTTTACTCATTGGTTAAAATATTTATATATCTGAATTCTTAAACGACATTAATTAATAGAGAAAATTTAACATCAAGAAACATTAACAAAATTTAGTAAGAGAAAACATTGCTCATGTAATTTTACTTCACTCGAACCATACTTCAGCTCGGCTCGTGAATTTTTTTTTTTTTGGAAGGTTAAGAAAAAATTAATATGAGCAGAACTAAAATATTTGATAACTTTTTTTTGAAATAACAGATAAAAAAAATTCAGCTCGGCTCATGATGGTATAGAACTATATATACAGATAATTTCTGCAATATGACACAACATAATATGCGTAACATTTAGAGTTAAAAAACAATTGATATCTTCATTTATATATTTATAAGTTATTCATATATTAGTTTCGATTTTCTCATGTGGTAGGAGAAAATTTTCTCATGTTGTAGACACATCTTACGTGGGTCCACATCTATTAAAAAATTAAAAAAGCAAAAGAAAATATTACACGTAAATCAAAAAGTCACTAATAGAAAAAAACAATTCTCCTATAATATGAGAAAATATTTTACCTTCATATATATACACAGCTAGCAATAGCATATCCTTATAAATAGAGGCACGATCGGTCCCTCTAGCTCTTTTCAAATAGCTGTATCTAATAAAAATTGGCAAAACGACAGACTCGCAGATTCATCTGAACCGCCAAATATATGGGAAAAGATTGTATGATAGTTACCATTATTTGCCAATGCAGAATCGAATGATTAATTTCGTTTAGTAGTTTATTTAATGGATCTGCAGCTTAATCAGATATATTTCCTCACACATGGCGTTTTGTCGCTTAGCTGGTAGGAAAAAAAAGTACTGCTCTTTTTTTTTTGTTAATTTTTTTTTTCAACAACCGATCTTTATCTTTGGGCTGATCATTCTTTAATCAAATCATAATTAGAGAAAAGCTAACAGCCATCATTGCATTTTATGAATTTTTAATCCCAAGTTTAAATGAATCATGGGGCACATTATTTCTTTCTCTCTTTAGTTAAAATTAAGATGAACATGCAAACCACCAAACTGATTGCTAACCTAACAAATCATAGCTACTATATGCCCAAATCCCGGAAAAATAATTAAAATGATAAAAAAAAAAAATATTCCATGAGCAGGTAGATGATGAAAAATTCAACTAAACTACATATATCATAGGGATTTTAAGTTTCAAGTATGGATTTAAAATTTATCATGTTATAGGAAATAAAATTATCTCACAAAAATGTGTAAACTTTAAACCCTTCAAGCATTCTCCACCTCACCCAAAAGAAAAAGTAAAAGAAATGGCTACATGTGCAATGCAAGTACCTTCTATACCGTATATTTGTTCCTAAATTGGATGTTACGTCTCCATTGCCATTACGTAGCAGATTCTGTGGAGTGGCTAGCGGGAAATACTATGGTACTGACTATAATTCATACTATCATTATCTTTTGAAGTACTTGTGGAAAATAATTAGCAAGCAATGATTGATCCCACTTTGACACCCTTTGGATCCCATGGAAATTTAGCTTTGGGTGCACCCTATGTACCCTTGAGTTCCTAGCTAGTTTTCAAAGTAACCATAGATTGAAAGGAAAAAGAATAAAATTAATAGCGTATATGTTATTATATGCTGAGTGAAATAAACATGTGTCCGAGAATGGATGATGTTGAGGATATTTAAGTTGATATCAAAGATTGGAAGATGCAAAAATATGTGGTGGGGCATGGATTGTGTGTGGGGTCATGAGGCATGAACATCCCTATGGATCAGTCATGTTGGTTGACTGGTCAAATTTATATCAGTCAAAGGAAACAATGAGGAAGAAAAAAACAAAGTAAAAGTAAGTGATGGGAAACCGTGCCCAAAAACATCCTTAGGCACACAACACATACGGTAATGTTGTTTGTATTAGCATTTATGTGAAGAAAAGAATCTAATGTTCCCACTTCCTACATATCTTTCTTCCACGCAGAATCTTTGTCTGTATGGTTGAGGTTGATATGTCACCTGATTTTGTGTGCTGGTTGGAGTTTAATAATCATAAATCATCCTAATAATTAACAAGTAGGATGTGATGGGTTTTAGAAGAAAAAAAGAAAAGCGAGATGTGAAAGAATGAAAAATGTTGATCGTAGAGCTAAAGTCGGGGGATGTAACTTACAATTTCATTGGAATAGGGAATAAACAAAAAAAAGACAATATTGTAAATCACAAGTCACAGCGCTTTCTTGTTTTGGAACTACTTTAAAACTAATAATCATATTCAACTTATTAGTTATCGACATGAACTCACAATATGAAGCCATTAATTTGCATCCCATCAGTTTTCATGCGTCTGGGCATAATTCCTTGTAGCTAATTATTACAACCGTTTAGGTTCTGTTTGTTTTCTGAGGGGGAAATATAACAGTTGTTGATGTTTTGATAAACTTTTAATAAATCTTAAATGTTTCATGATCTTTAGTATTATAGGTACACACCTAGCTAGCTAGTAGTTAGTTGAATAGTTCTCGGTTCTTTTAATAGGCACAAAAATATTGACATCGGAAAAAATAATGTGTTCTGCTTCCAAGCTTTTGTTTGAGAGGGAAGAATATTTGAAATTTCTTTAATCCATCGCTTCCTATATACCTTGAAAGACCGCGCATGTTGGAGATCGGGCATATTTTTTTTAGTTTTGCAAAAAATGGTAAAGAAAGATGGTAATATATATATATATAAAAACTAATATCGGTGTAATGATCATAAATTTTTTTTA